GTAACAAGTGCCTTACTAGTAGTAACAAGAAGCTTCTAGGAACAAGTAACAAAGGATGCGACCGGACTTTCGTAGCACGTGGGAATTCGGGACCCCGAGCGAACGGAGCGGGGGACTGAGCAGATTAGCATCTAGGGGCTAAGGCGGAGTAGACCGCTCCAAGTCCAAGGACCCCTTAGATGTACAGAATGACTGTGGAGTCAGGCCCACATTCAGGTAATTAGTACTCAAGTCGCGGACGCTTGAAAGAAGTCGAGCGGAAACTGCGTCCAGTATTTCAGAGATTGCTGATGGGGTGGTGACAATGGGCAAGTTGAGTTTGAGAATGTTTGAGAGGTTGGGTAGTGGTTTGGGCTGGTGACTATTATCAGGCCGCCTTGGAAGAGCCTTTTTTCCCAGAATTTACTCAACGCTGCTTAGAGCCGGTCAAGGAAGTAAACACAATGATTATCAATGATTCAATGATTCAAAAAAACGCACAAAGACCATCACATCAAATTGAATACTTGTATCATCTTGTATCATTTGTTTTACTTTGACCCTCACTGATGCTCATCCTCAGCCAATTCCCATTGACGATTCTCGTTTTGATCACCTCCCCATTGCCACCACCCCATTGCTTCGGTGACTGATGGGTCCCAAGAAACATGCCACTTGCGGCACTTACACAGCGCACTCTGGTGATCTCTAGTGAATGTAATGAGTTGTTTTTAGTTGTATTGTTTATCCATCTGGGTCACACGGCCCACAGTCATACATCCTTCAGCCCGGAAGATTGTTATGAACCTAAAAATTAGGTCTTTGCTTCGAGTCTAGAGTCTAGAGGAACTGATAGACGCTTGAGTCGCCTTTCTATGTTTGCATTCCAGTTTGACGCCGTCCATGTTTCTGTACATCCGAGGAATGATGGGAAGTTTTTCCAGACGACCAAAAGGGGAGAAATTCAGGAGAGCCGGGCCAGGAAATACTTGTAGAGACGTGGGCAAGCTTGCCAAGGTATGCTAGGCTGCTAGTCCTACGCGGTAAGCCCGATCAGGTAGTGAAGATAGACTACAGTGCTGTTCACCACTTCTGTGTTGGATGCACTGGTTTGCTCATTAACCCAGTTTTGACATGCACATTTCAGTATATGAGTTGTAGTCTAATTTATCGTAAAAACATTGTATATGGAACGTTTCGCCAGTATTGGGTTTTATAGCCGGCTCCACCCCAAAAACGATAGGGGACGCCCTAAAAACGATACCCCAAAACGATACCCACCCCAAAGTGTCAAAACCTGAAAAACGATAGGGGACACCCTAATTTACTTATGAATACAGCCCAAACCAATATATAATTCAGACGCTGGCTCATATAACTGCTCCGGGTCATGCTTGGACAGAGTTTTGTGCAAGACTGCAGTGTCACTGTTTATGTGTGTGTGTGTGTCCACCCCTGGACAAAGGGTGTTCCACCGCTACTCCTTCCACAGTTTTTCAACCACCTTTTTCAACCACCTTCTACAGGCAGGGGGATCAGGCTTCCAGTGACTAACCTGATCCAACGAAGCTGGGTCACTGGAAGGGAAGTGGTTGAGGACGCTCAACCATGTACCTGCAAAGTTTTCCACAAGCTGTCCACCCTACTCTTTCCGCGTTTTGTTTCATGGTGGTTCACATGATACTACCCCATAAACAGGTTTCTCTTGCGCCGCACCGCCCGAGCGACCGATCGTCTCTGCAGACTTGAGCAACATTTTTTGAAACACCTACAAGTTTTCGGACCTTTCACCTTGCGGTTCTTCACCATCCTTCCCATCGTGGTAATTGAGTCACTGAATACAAGTGTCAGAGTGTGTTTCGCTCAGCCGTCCCACTCGGGTGCTGAGTGTGATCCCCGTCACAGGGGCGCGGTTTTTTACATCGGAAAGCAACCAACCCAACATGCCACCTCTCACCGGATTTCCACTGGAAGTCTTTGACACACCCTTTGAATCAACTGATACATCGGCCGCCGGGCCCAAACACGGGAGTCCCTCGACAGCCGCCGGGCTATAAAACGGTGCATTGCAAAACCCCCAACAAAACCCCCAATGAGGCAGGTTCCCCCACCCCCCCCCGCTGA